AAGCCCTATAAGCCCTAAACCTTACTTAACCCTCAACCCTAAACCCTAAACCCTAGACCCTAAACCCTAAACGGAAGCCTCATAAGCGCGGTCTCCGCCCCTGACGGCCTAAGCCCTGTTTCGCATTTAGCGATGGCGATCTGAGTAGAATCTGTTTCAGCCTTTCTTTGGCTTACAAGGGTTTAGAGGCTGCGAGTTAATCATTCTGGATATAAGTTACGACTGCGCCCTGCCATGGCTGAGGTATCCTTGCCGACTATAAGTTACGCTCGCAAGGACAGTTGGACTCAGACCCCGGACGTTTCAGCTTCGACGACGGCACGTGGCGAACGCAAGCTATAGGGTTCCCGACTAGCCGTGCCGGCAACGCACAACCGATACGCCTTCGCAAGCTGCATCACCGCAGACAGTTTGGGTGGAGGTCTGGCGATTCCTGGTGAACTCTAAACCCGAAACCCTAAACCCTTGTTGCCTCAAACCCTAAACCCTAAATCCTCAACCCAAAAAGGTTTAGGGTTCGCCTGTGCGCCTGAAGGTTTAAGGTTTAGGGTTTAGGGTTTAGGCTTTAGGGTTTAGGGTTTAGGGTTCAGAATCACCCGCCCGAAATGATGTGTTCCCGACAACATGCTGCTTTGGCGTGGCGGGTTCTCATGTTAATCTTGGGGGTTGATGATCTTTTGGGATGGAGACGGAATACTTAGGGTTTAGGGTTTAGGGTTTAGGGTTTCTTCGCCAGCTGTCCTCCCTCTTTGCCCCAAGCGCTCCAGGAAATCATGATCCTTTTGAACGTTTTGACAGCGGCTTTGCGTGGCCCAGTGGCAACGAGAGGGTCTTTGGAAGAGCTTGTACTTTTTGGAGCCATCGGGACACCACAACGGACACGTTCCCGTTACGGCCGGGCTTGTAGTTTCAGGATCTTGTTGTGATGCTCCTTCTTGGAAGCACGAAGAGATCAAAGGACCTAAGCCCGAAACCCTAAACCCTCAACAAATCCTAAAACTTAACCACTAAACCCTTAACCCTAAACCCTGATCCGCGCATGCATCGCAGCAAACCTACGCACACCCCTTGCCCGCAAAGCCCCCCCCTTAGGCCTCTGAACCCCCCAGTACATCCCAAAAGGCCAAGCATGCCTACAGGCCGCGCCCCTACACGGCTTAGGGTATAGGGTTTATAGGGTTTATAGGGTTTAGGGTTTAGGGTTTCGGGGTATTTGGAGGTTCACGAGGGGTATAGCTGTGGTAATAGGTAGAGCAAATGTAGTTATAGCTGGCTTCAGCCTTTCTAGATGTGGTTCCTGTGCATTGCAACCACCCATCTCCTTGAAGTGCCACAAGCCCCACTTTTCACCATCCGCAAGCCCTAATGCCCAAGCGCTCATCACTACCCACGCAAGCACCCGACATGTATGCCCTAGACCCTAAACCCTAAACCCTAAACCCTAAACCCTGAACCCTGAACCCTGAACCCTGAACCTAAGCCCTAAGCCCATCTTTTTCAGTAGCCATGAGCCCTACACTCTCAAACCTAAGCCCGAAGCCTTAAACCCTAAACCCTAAACCCTAAACCCTAAATACAGCATGCTTCAGGCTACGAGCAGCCCATGTACAATTTCGCCCCGGCCTCGATGTCTCTGCGGGTTTAGGGCTTGGGGTTTAGGGTTTAGGGCCTAATTCAGGGTTTCAGCGTTTAAGGGTTTAGGTTTTTGGGCTTGTTTAGGCTTTAGAGTTTAGGTTTTGGGATTTGTTTAGGGTTTAGGTGTGTCACTACACCTAAAGCTGTAAACCGTTGCTTGTTTGGACCGTGTCTTAGAACACATTCTCCACATTTCCAGGAAGCTCCTGTTCTTCCATGTTTCGCGCTGGGCTCAGCCTACCCTAGGCCGTAAGCCCTTGCTATTCCCTTTTTTTTGGGTGGGGGGGTGGGGTTGGCCGGGGGGGGTGCTAGGTTTCCTTGCGCATCCCATCCCGAACCCTCAAGCCCGAAGCTCAAAACCCTTAAGCCCTAGCCTCTCAACCCCTTTTGATACTTAGGCTCTTTACCTTAACCCGTGGGCCACCAGTTCAAGCATCGCTTTATGCCCCGAAGCCCAATAATCAGCGTGGTCCTGGACGTCCTCAAGCAAACCCTAAACCCTAAACCCTAAACCCTAAACCCTAAACCCTAAACCCTAAACCCTAAACCCTAAACCCTAAACCCTAAGGGGTCTGGGGTCTAGGGTTAAGGGTTAAGGGTCTAGGGTTTAGGGTTTAGGGCTTCGGTGGCCCCAAACCCCACACCCTAAACCTTAGGTGTACATAAAATCATCTGGGCCCTCATATAGGGGTCGGAATATTTGCAAAAAGTGTTCCCTTGTTCAAATACGCCCCTTTCTATTTTTTTGATAATCAGCCCCAAAACCCTACACCCTACACCCTACACCCTAAACCCTAAACCCTAAACCCTAAACCTTAAGCCCTAAACCCTAAACCCGACAAGGTATATATGCCGTGGGGGAAATTGGTCTTTGTTAACTTTGTGGACCACAGCAGCTGCCAGGCACGGAGACCACGACCCGAATCTTAAAGGGTTTTGAGGGTAGGGCTTAGGGTTTGGGGTTTGGGGTTTAGGGTTGGGGGTTTAGGGTTTAGGGTTTAGGGTTTAGGGTTTAGGGTTTAGGGTTTGGGCTTCAGGGTGGTCTGTAGGGGTTTATCTTTGAGGATCTGTGCCTTAAGGGCTTCAGCGGCTTAAGAAGGTCGCTATGGCTTTAAGGGCATGCATTTGGGTTTTCCAGGGCGTTTGGGCCCCCTCATACCTCCCTACCCCCACCCCCACCCCCCAACCCCCCCCCCCCCCCCCCAACCCCCCCCTACCCCCAACCCCCCCCTACCGCTGTGCCTGACTGGTTCCCTGCTGTATATCTACTGGAACCCAAAACGGTGTATCAGGGCTTATAAGGTGTATAACTTACTGAGCTGCCAACGCAACACGCGGCCCTAAAGTATCCTCCCCTCGTATTCCTTGTAACGCTCACTGCCCTAAACCCTAAACCCTAAACCCTAAACCCTACACCCTAAACCCTAAACCCTAAACCCTGAACCCTAAACCCTAAACCCTAAACATGAGAGAAGGCCCCCAGAAAGCTGGCGGGTCAGCCTTCCAGCGGCAAAAGATCGGGGCCCTTGCGGTAGGGACTGCCGCGCCACCCGAAGCCCTAATCCGAAAGAGCGGTTGGGGTCGGTTAGGGTTAGGGTTTAGGGTTTAGGGTTTACGGCTTAGGCACGTCATGACTGTCTCATCCCTAAGCTCTAGTCGCCAAGACCTTCTCATCAAGACCTTGCTGGCACGCCGGGGGAATGAAGGGCAGTGTCTTCTGCCATTGAACCACCCCCGAAAATGTGAGACATTCTTCCCTACAAGGGCAATATAGGGATTGTGTTCTTTGTTTTTTTGGTGTTCCTAAGCAAATGGTTGGTTTGGGTAAGGCGGCGCTATCGCCAAAGGTCGGCAAAGGAAGGCGGCGGGTGAGTTTGCTGTAACCCTCATGAAGTTTCGTTTCGAATAAACAAGGTCCCCAATTAAAGTTTAGGGTTTAGGGTCTAGGGCTTAGAGTTCAACACTCTCCCATTGATGTCCTCAACCCTTAGAACCCTGAGCCCAACACGGATAAGGCCTGCTGTGAAATAAGGCAGAGGGTTGGGCGGTAAACCCTGTCACATCTTCCACCTCAAACCCAAAGCCCTAAACCCTGGAACCCTAAGCCCTAAACCCTAAGCCCTAAACCCCAAACCTAAACCCTAAACCCTAAACCCTAAACCCTAAACCCTAAACCCTAAACCCTAAACCCTAAACCCTAAACCCTAAACCCTAAACCCTAAACCCTAAACCCTAAACCCTAACCCTAAAACCGTCACCCTAAGCCCTAAACCCTAAACCTAAACCCTAAACCCTTCACCCAAGCCCGAAGCCAGAGAGGGGTTTCGGGCAAGTTCTGTCGCGAAGGCACACTTCGAAGTCATCCAACGCCTCTGCGACCTAGGCGGGGACTGGTGGGACCTGTTTGTAGGGTTTAGGGTTTAGGGTTTAGGGTTTAGGGTTTAGGGTTTAGGGTTTAGGGTTTAGGGTTTAGGGTTTAGGGTTTAGGGTGTATAGAAGGGAAGCTCGCGTGCTAAAAGCACCCGGGCCGCTCGCTTGCGTTAGCATGTAGTCCCACCCCAACCACCCAAACTATTCTCATTTAGTGTTTAGCCCTCACAATCCAAAGTGCCCAGAAAACAAGGTCATTGCGGAAGGTGTGCAAAAAATGAGGACATGTTCTGGGGTTGCAGATGCGGTGACGATTTTTAGAGACATTACGGAACCAGGGGTTTTATGGAAAAATAGGAGGTTTATGGAAATATAAATCTGGGAGCCATGAGAGGTTTCCAGGGGTCTTTGGGGGTATGTGTGACCCGCTTGTGGCCCGATACATGCAGACCTGGAAGCACTGCAACCTTCAACCTGCAAGCCCTAGCCCTGAAACTTGACACCCTGCCTTTGCCCGACGCTAAATCCTGAGGCCTTCTTCCCGAACACTCAAGCCCTGTGCCTTCAAGCATGGGTGCCTGAACCCTCGCTAGTTATAATCACCACCCGGGACCTCAAAGACTTCCTTAGCTTTCTCCTGCCTTGCTGCTGGTGCCACGGCGCTGCTGCGCACGGCTCCCAGACTACCACCCTAAACCCTAAACCCTAAACCCCAAACCTAAACCCTGAACCTGAACCCTAAACCCTAAACCCTAAACCCTAAACCCTAAACCCTAAACCCTTTTTGCACTAAACCCTAAACCGTAAACCCTAAACCCTAAACCCTAATCCTAAACCCTAAACCCTAAGCCCTAAACCCTAAACCCGAAACCCTAAACCCTAAACCCTAAACCCATACAGTTATATATATATATATATGTATGTATATTTGTTGTTTTTTTTTATCTTTTATTTGTTTTTTTACCCATGCATGGGTCGAGTAGCAGCACACTTTTTCATCGGACTCGCAGCCTCAACAGATATCTGCACAGGCATCGGTACTCCAGTAATGGTTTGGGCACGGCCAGCACTAATTTCTTCCAGACTCCTATGAAGTCCTCATCCACGAAGCTGTGACACATACGGCAGTTGAGGAGACTGCTTATCTGATCTTCGCACAAATGCAACCAAGAATGGTGTTTGGGGATGCCTTTCCAGCGAGGCTGTTTCCGTCGCTGGCTCAACAAAACGAGGACCTGGTATAGGTCAAGGAACAGACAGCAGGAGCGATGCATGCTTTCAGCTTGCTCCTTGGACAAGTACCTGCCACTTTGTTCCATCGTGTCCAAGAACGCACACATAGCTGTCGCACAAGCAGAAGCGACCTCAAGCTCTTCCTTCAGTGTCGGGTCGAGCACTTGGTCAATCGAGCTCTGGCAGAGGTCACGAAGTACCACCTCAAAGAATAAGACCACCAACCTGGAATTCCATGCCTTGAAGTTGAGGCAGGGATACGCCCCTCCCTCAAAGGTCAATTGACCTGCTGTCATCGTGGCTTGCGAATGCCTTGCAACGATGTACAGGCCACTCAAAAAAACAAAAAAAAATGTTGTTACTTGAGCTGAATTAGTGGCAATATATACCAGGGTTTGGGTTTCTGGACTTTAAAGCTTTTGTGAATCAGTCGCACAGGTTCCAGGGTTTAGCTGCTGGTCTGAGGATTGAAATCGGGCAGAGCGGGTACACAGATAAAATTGGAGTCTGGAATCGCCGGCTTCAGGTTTGCTTGAGGGCGTTAATGCGATATTCAAGGTAAAGTGAGCACTTAGGGATGTTTTAGCAGGACTTTGAGCAACGAGGTTTTGGGCCCGGTTTTAGGCGACCTCCTAAGGGTACTTTGCATAGAAATTAACGGGAGAAACCTTCGAATTCCATCCCAGTTTCTGAAGTTGGTTTGCAGATGCCCAGCGCTTAAACCGGTCACAGAAGCAGATCATCTTTGAGGCCATCTTGCATTGCCCAAACCATCCTTGCAATTGGCAAGTTACCTATAGCTACACCCAATACCCTATGACCCTACACCCTAAACCCCAAACCCCAGACCCTAAACCCTAACAGGGCACAGTGCCAGGGCAGGCCTACAGAAGTGAAAGCAACATTCTAGACTTTATCCAAGGCTCCAAGTTCGTCCAGCAATGTAAAAATGGAACCGTTCAGATATTGAAGAACACCAAGATGCAACGTGTGCATTGCGCACGTTTTGATGAAGTCAGGCCGAAAACCCGCTGTCATGACGAGCGGGCACGCCGGGCGACTCAGGGGCAGCACCAAACAGGATTTGAGTAGCAGTTATCAGATCTACGGGAGGGCTATATTCGGTGGATGGGTTTTCAAGCCCCAGCCTCATTCCATTCAGCAGTATATCAGGCATGCTGCGGCGCTCAGCTGCCTTTGACAGCTGGGTCTTCCACCTGGCATACAGCGTTTAGGGTTTAGGGTTGAGATATGGGTTTGGGGTTTAGGGTTTACGCTTTTGGGTTTAGGCTTTAGCTAGCAGTTCAGGGTTCAGGGTTCAGGTTTAGGGTTTAGGGTTTAGGCTTCAGGGTTCAGGGTTCAGGTTTAGGGTTTAGGGTTGAGGGTTTAGGGTTTAAGGGAAAAATTGCCAGGGTAATCTTCTAGGCACGATCGGTCCCCCCGAGATTGAGCATTGCACAAGTGGCAAACGTTAACAGAGCTCCAGCCAGACCTCAATCGGAAGAGAAACTTTTGCCATTTCCAGTCGCCTCTATACTCCAGCACGAAGTGCTTGCCTCCTGTGCAGGGAGATCTAGCACCCCACGCTCCAAGCCTCTTAGGTCTACTTGGCAGCACTGGATCTGGGCTGATGGTGAACTGCGAGGCCTGCTATGGGTGTGCCAGCCCGGTAGCGTCCGGAGTACGGGTTGCCTTCATGATCAGTAGCTGGGTGAATACCGAGGGCCAGTTGGTTGATGGACCAGGTTATGATTTCGAGTACTGGGCTGAGGCTTTCCATCCCCAAGCAAATGAACTCTCTCAGGTTCATCAGGGGATAGCGAGCCTGGTGGGTTCCTTAGTATCTGCTAGAAAACAGAAGATATATAGTCTTCATTCTAAACGAAATTTTAAATCACTAAAAAACAAAATGCCTGTTGAGATCCTGGCGGCTGCCTTGATCGCGCTGCAGCAGAAAGTTCAAAGTCAGCAACACAACACGATCGCCGGCAGAATTGTAACGACCATCGTCCCCGTGCATGCCTAACGGCATGCAGCCGAAACCAGGGTGAACTCCAGCCCAGTCTTGATGTTCTGAAAGATGTTGCCAATAATATTGCACCTCCGACTGTGGAATCTGCACCCGTCCATTCTCCTGCAAGACCGAATCGTGTACAGAGTACTAGTTGCCCTAGTGGTTCAGGATGTCGGGTTACGGTTGAGGGTTGGGGGATTAATAGCATATAGGGTTTACATTTTCAAAGCACTTGAGCTCGAGAAACGAATTCGAATGTCGAGGGTCGTGCAGCCAGTGCACCAGCTCGTGGGGCATGATGAAAGGCAATCTCAAGTTTTGCCGACTTCTTCGATCCGAAGCCCCGATCACAGGGATGTCCACATAGTGCAGATTCTGAGAATGAATTTAAATTCAGTTCGCATCTCGTTTCCTGTTTTTTCGGGTATAATGGGTTTAGGGTTTAGGGTTTAGGGTTTAGGGTTATTAGGGTTGCCTGAACTATAACGCGGCCCAGCATCCAATGGAAGCTCCAGCAATCTCATTAAATCTCTCTCGACATTTCCAGGAAACTTTCCCGAACAACCCAGCTTGGCGAAGCTTTTTGTCATTTCGCTGCAATTTGATCTGGATTCTGCCACAACAGCAGCCGCTGCCTTCTGAATCTCTGCCACCGATGTTGCCTGAATAGCACACATCAAGCAAAATGGCAAACCCCAGACCCATGTCCGACACTGGGCAGTAATAAGTGACAAAAACATGTAAAGTATAGTCGAAACGCCCCAGCACCAAGCGAAGATAGCAGGTAGTCGGCAAAGGCGGTGTTTTCGTCCAAATCTGCGCATCGGCTGCTCAGGGACCATATAGACATAATTATGAAGATTGCGCTAACTCTGCAATGATCTTTTTTCTCTCTATCTCTCTCTCTCTCTCTCTCTCTCTCTCTCTCTGTCTTTCTCTGTCTCTCTCTTTCTCTTTCTCTCGCTCTCGTGCGCCCTCTCTCTTTTTTATAGAGCCAGCGGAGACAAATGATCAGCTGCCCAGCAGGCCGACACTGGCAGCGTAGCACCTCGATGGAGCCGAGCACTGGCCTTGGCAGATTGCTCTAGGGAGCCAGATCTACTTATATGGTTTAGGACCGTTTAGGGTTTAGGGTTTAGGGTTTAGGGTTTAGGTTTAGGGTTTAGGGAGTCGTAGGGTTTAGGGTTGAGGGTTTAGGGTTTAGGCTTTAGCTAGCTATATATAGGGTTCAGGGTTTAGGGTTTAGCAGGTTTGGGGTTTAGGGTTTAGGGTATTATCTAGCGTGTGCAGGGTTTAGGGTGTACCTGCAGCAGCTTTGAGAGAGCACGCTTTCGAACTTTGCCAGTCTAGCAAGTCTGATACCTAGCCTACCGAGATCAGGCTATGAGTGTGGTGGCCTTGGTTTGACACACCCATGCCCCTACAGCCTGCGGCTACAAGATCTCTAGAGGCACCCAGCACACTCTCCCGATCCGCTTAAATCAATTGCGCAGCACACCTCTGCTGATCCTATAGCAGATGCCACGAGATGATCAAAATTTGGCTTGGTCGCCAAAGCTGAGGCTCGAAGCTGCCCACAGTCTACGCTGCCGAGCCGGCCTTGGACTTACACTTTGCAGCAGCAGCCTTCTGCTTCGGTGCTGCTTTCGGCGCCACCGTGTGCATGCGAACATGCTTCGCAGCTTCTTTGTACTGTGCATTGTACTCATTCATCTTGAACACCAACGGTGACATCTCAGGCTCATCCTTACCCCCAGCAATGGCTGCCTGCAACAATAAATATCTCTAACACGCGTAAAAAAAGCCATGTGTGTGTGTGTCACACATGCACTCAGCAAGCCTCCAGACTTCCACGATGCTCACGCAGAATCTCTGCTTGGCTGTTCATACTCTGCACCAGCGCCTTGATCAAGTTCTGGTCCCTAGGTCAGCATTGCTGCGAGCAGAGCAGCTGCGCAGAGCACAAGGCCCTGCACGTTTAAACGTTGAGGGAAATTGTAGGGGATGAAGATTCAGGATTGTGGGCTTGGGGTTTACAATAATAGCTGTAGATCGAGCACAGGCCAGTCTCACTCCGTTCTTGCGTAACTTCGTTTCCCAGGACTGGATCTCGAGCAAATTGCTGTTCACCAAAGATATCGCCTCGGTTGTCGAGCATAGACATCATTAATTTGTAGTCGCTTTTCAAAATAGATAGAAAAAGCCTGCTTTACGTGCATTGCAGACAAAGCGACCGACTTTGCTTGCTGCTGAATTGTCTTGGGCTTGGTCGCCTTCTTCTTCGCCCCAGCCCCCCCTGCGGTTTCAGCATTGCTGGGTCCTGCCCCTCCATCTGCCCCACCAGCCATGTTGGTCGAGCCTGGGTCAACATCAGCCGCACGCTCCCTGATGATAGACTGCTTGGACTCGTCATCCTCCTCCTCCGCAGCCATAAACCAACACTTGTAAAGCTTCAATGCCTGCAGGGATTTTTGGACCAGAAGTACAATATCCCTAAACCCTAAAACCTAAACCCTAAACCCGGCCCTAAACCCTAAACCCTAAACCCTAAACCCTGAACCCTAAACCCTAAACCCTAAACCCTGTTGTCAGCCTGGCCTCGCACTCCGGGGCGTCTGGGTTGTTCATGACCATCTCGGGATGCTGCTCCTGGTTCGGGTAGAAGCTAGTAATTGTACACTTCTTTAGGGTTTAGGGTTTAGGGTTTACGGTTGAGGGTTTAGGGTCTAGGGTTTAGGGTTTAGGGTTCAGGGTTTAAGGGCTTAGGGTTTAGAGTTCCGGCTTGAGGCTTTAGGGTTTAGGGTTCAGGGTGGGCGAAACCGTTCTGAATTTGCTTTCGGTTCCTTCGTCTGGATGATGGCATCGACCAGACCCTGGTCGTTGTATTTGTCCATGAGCTCCTGACCATGAGTTCCCCGAACGCAACCCAACAACTTAATTATATTTCAAAATCACAGCATGATAGTCCGGCCTTTCTCGTCAACCAGCGGTGCTGCCGAACACTTCGGTTGCGGGCAGTCTGCTCTGACCGCATTACCAGTTCTGACTCTCCCCAGCATTCGTTTGCTTCGAGGTACTTGGCAAAGAGGGCCTGCATCTTCTGTCGGACGACCCTGCCTCAGATCGATGATGGGCCCCCTGGGGTTGGCTGGAGGATTACAGTGCAAGGAATTTAGTTCAGGGTTTTAGTTTCGGGGTTGGCTGCAGTATTGCCAAGCAATGCAGAATTCTAATGTTCAGGGTTTTGTTTGAAGTTTGGTTTCGGGCCCGGCCTTCTCACCGAAACGCACTTGAACCCCAGAATATCCTGAAGCCTCGAGACCCTTGAATAGCTCACGGCAAGTCTTGCCTTGAGCTTTACTTGACCCCAAACCCCCAACCCTCAGCCCTAAACCTGAAAAACACACACATACATATATATATATATACAAATAAATAAATAATCTATATATATATATAACTATGTATATATAATAATACTGCTAATAATAAATAAATAAATAAATAAATAAATAAATAAATAAATACATAAATCATATATATATATATATATATATATATTAAAAAGAAGAAGAACAACATATGTAACAATAGAATATAGTTGATAATTTATATATAAATATACTTAAATATATAAGGGTACCCTGTTTAAGTTTCCGTATATATATATATATATATATATATTGTATATTTTTTACAACAAAAACACAAAAAAACCCTAACCCTCAACCCTCAACCCTAAACCCTAAACTAGGCCCTAAACCCTAACCCTAAACTCTAAACAAGTGGGTAGTTTAAGTCTCAGCCACCCTGGGCGTCCTTACACTTGGCCGCAGCCTCCACAACCGCTGCTGGGCAGCTAGAACCTGCAGGGAATCGCAAGTTCATGGCTTGCAATTTGGGTTTATGTACTGACACACTGCCTGGTGCCTACATATAAGTCCAGGAGCTGTTCAAGCTTCGGGTGAATCGCATGTAGGCATTTTTCTTGAGCTTGCGTTCATCTGCAACGTCTCCGGCTTCGGGGGGTGGCGTGGGTCGCGGGGGTGCTTTGCCCTTTGGGGAGGCACGACTTTTCGGGGAGGCAGCCAGAGACTTTGGCACTGCCTTGAGCGGGGTAGTAGGTGCCGACGGAGCAGCCGGCTGGGATGCAGGGCTGGGCGTGGGTGGAATGCTTCGTAGCAGCTGTTCGAAATCCATGGTGTCGGGGCGCTTCAGCATACTCTCCACAGCTGACAGCTTGTCGGCTGGGAGTGTGTTGTTCTGGAGACCTGGCAGAACTGAGAGCAACCACTGCAGCGACGCAGCTTGGCTGGCCTGGACTTCGGCTGGCATTTGCTGGGAAGCGGCAACAGGGACTGCCGGGACTTCGGCTGGCTTTTGCTGGGAAGCCGCAACAGGGACTGCCTGGACTTCGGCTGGCTTTTGCTGGGCAGCAACAGGGGCGACTGCCTGGACTTCGGCTGGCTTTTGCTCGGCAGCAACAGTGGCGACTGCCTGGACTTCGGCTGGCTTTTGCTCGGCAGCAACAGGGGCGACTGCCTGGACTTCGGCTGGCTTTTGCTCGGCAACAGGGGCGACTGCCTGGACTTCGGCTGGCTTTTGCTGGGCAGCAACAGGGGCGACTGCCTGGACTTCTGGAGGCTTTTGCTGGGCAGCAACAGGGGCCACTGCCTGGTCTTCGGCTGGCATTTGCTGGACGTCGGTTGGCTTTGGGCTAGCTTCAGCGGTGACAGGCATGACTGCCTGGACTGGGGTAGTTGGCGGGGCTGGCTTTTCCTGGGCTTGGTCGATCAGGGTGTCCTCGCAGTCCGACATTTCAGGGGTTCTCTGCGTTGCTTCTTCAGTTTGCTGCGAGTCCTCCGGTAGCACAGGGATAGTCAAGCCAGGGTTTGTGCATAAAATAATCAATAAATAAATAATTAATCTATATATATATATATAATTTACTATCGTACCATTTATAAGAAGAATAGCTAAGCATTTGATGTAGACGATATTAATAATAACATATATAGCTAGTATACTTATTATTATAATACGATTGTTGTTGTGGTTGTAGTAGTATTAGTAGTAGTACTAGTAGTAGTAGTAGTAGTAGTAGTAGTAGTAGTAGTAGTAGTAGTAGTAGTAGTAGTAGTAGCAGCAGTAGTCGTAGTAGTAGTAGTAGTAGTAGTCGTCGTCGTCGTCGTAGTAGTAGTAGTAATAGTAGTAGTAGTAGTAGTAGTAGTAGTAGTAGTAGTAGTAGTAGTAGTAGTAGTAGTAGTAGTAGTAGTAGTAGTACTTAATACTACAGATACACAATGTATTCTTATATATCATATAATAATATATATAATATAATAATAACAAAAATAGCATATATAGCTAAGAAGGTACAAATATAACATATATAAATAAATAATTAAATAAATATATATATATATATACATATACATATACATATATATAACTGCAAAAAATGTATAAATATTATATATAGACTTATTTATATTAATTATTTCATAGAAGAAAACCAGAACCTCCAGAGCGGCTGCCGCCATCTGCTCTTCAAGTTCCTTTACCAAATCTGTATCGGCATCACCTGTGTAGCTTTCCCCATCAACATCCATTCTGGTACTTTCTCTGGCCTTAATTGCGGATACAAAACACGAAAATACATTTTAGGAAAACAGACTCGGCAGCAGAATTTATATTCACGTTGCAAGCCACAGCCTTGACATCTCCTGGCGTTGTCCCCAAAGCAAGAGTCGATGCGTCCGAGGCCACCGAGAATGCACTCCACGTGCGCTGCGGCGGCGGCGTCTGGCCCACAGACTCTGCAGCATCGCCTTTGAGGGGCTTAGGGTTTACGGCTTAGGGTTTAGGTTTGGCGTTTAGCTATAGGGTTTAGGGTTTAGGGTTGTGGCTATGGGGTTTAGGGAATTAGGGTTTAGGGTTTAGGGTTTGGGGTTTATGGTTTAGGGTGTAGAGTTTAGGGTTTAGGGTGTAATATATAGCATAGCTACACGAAAATGTTGAGATTGAGGGCTACTTAAGCTTTAACATCAGGGAGGAAAGCACGTACAGGGTTTACTGCAGTCAAGAATCCAAACAGATCCTTCTTTGAACTTTCGAGACTGCACTTTGCAGTCTTCGGTTCAGGAGTTTTCGTAGAAGGAGTCTTCTTGCTTTCTGACACAGGAGTACGGGTTGCGCGTGTGCGCTTGAGGTCCTGCGTAGCCTGTGTAGCCTTGGAGGGTGTGGCTGCCTGAGCAGCTTCTTTCTTTGATGCTGCCATGATATTGGCGACCAACGCCTTTCGGTTCTTAGCAGCCGCCAAAGCCTGTTGTGCAACCTGCCAGAACATGTGAAAGTGCAGATTTAGGGTTTAGGGTTTAGGGTTTAGGGTTCAGGGTCTAGGGTTTAGGGTTCAGGGCTAGGGTTTAGGACGGTTTAGGACCTGCCTCAGCGAGGTCTGATGATTCCGACATGATCTTGCGATCGAGGCCGGTAGCAAAGCGGCTTGTTTGAGCTGAAATTGCTCTAAAAACGATAGCAATCCCCTTTCCTCCCGCACTCTCCCCCCTCCCCCCTCCCCCTACCCCCCCTCCCCCCCCCTCCCCCCCCCCTCCCCCCCCCCCCCCCCCCCCCCCTCCCCCCCCCTCCCCCCCCTCTCCCCCCCCCCCTCCCCCCCCTCCCCCCCCCTCCCCCCCCCCCCCCCCCACCCCAGAAAGTCACGCAGAATCACGCCTGTTCACGGGGGAGGGTTTTGCGGAAGAGGTGGCTCCATTTGCCCCCCCCCCCCCAAAAGTCACGCAAGTTCACGCTTTTTCTCGCGTCTTTTCCGTGGATTCCGCGGAGTGCCGAGCCAAAAAGCGGTTTATAATGACACTTTGCTAGCCCACCTGCAGGCCCTTCGTGGCGGTTCGTGCCCGTGGCAGGCCGCGACAGGTCTTTACAGCAGGGGTTCACATGCTGCTTAAAGCAAATTAGGACACGGGTTTAGGGATAAGGGGGCTGGTGATAGCGGTGTAGCCTTCGTCCAGAAGCCCTAACCCCTGCTTAGCGATGAACACAGCCCAACTCACATTTACAATGGTGCACTGGGCCGGAAGCGTCCCGAAGCTTGCTCCTCTAAAAGGAACTCTCGGATCGGCTCCAAGCAAGCCCACTCATTCCATAAGTCCCGAGCCTCCTGGCGATCGGCTAGGCTTAAGTGGATTATTCAAGTTGAGGGCGATCAGGGCACTGTTTCGTATTTGGGGTTTTCTTTAAGGGTTTGAGGATTTCAACGACTGGGTCGTTCGGGTCGGGGGCTGCACAGTGGATCTAGACCCTAGAACTAGGCTTCGGTTTACATCGCGGATTATACTGGAAGAGCACGCCGCTTCTGCCTCATGGGCACGCTTATCAGATTCGAGTACATTGCCTCGTGCCACAGGGCTGACACAATGGGTCGGCGGCCGAGGTCCTGGAGTACTCCGATTTGACTTCGTTTCAGGATGATCATGATGCAAGCACCGAGATGCTTCGCAAGGCTATCCGATACGATTTTCAGCCCATTCCGGCAAACTACCTTCGAAGGAATTGGTACAAGACTGGCGGAACTGGTGGGCATTCTGAATAACATGCATTGCAGCCTTGCTGCCAAGCCGCGTACCTGAATCCCCTTAAGAGCCCTAATCACAAATATGAATAAGCCCACAAGCTGTGTATAGGCCCTAAACCCTAAACCCTAAACCCTAAACCCTAAACCCTAAACCCTAAACCCTAAACCCTAAACCCTAAACCCTAAACCCTAAACCCTAAACCCTAAACCCTAAACCCTAATTTGCCCCTAAACCCTAAACCCTAATTTGCCCCTAAACCCGGCCCAAGAGCACTGGGACTTGTCATTATATCATGACAGCTTCACTGATCACCCGGCCCTAAACCCTGCAAACCCTAAAATCTGGAGAAGCGTCGACCCCAAAAAGCAATCTCTCTAGAGCTGGCCCGGAACAACACTCTATAACATCGATGTCAAAGCGCCAACAACCAGCAAGAAGCACCGACCCCAAACCCTCCCAGGTCCATATAGTGTAGGTGAGCCCAGCCAAAAACCCTTTTAAAGTATCAAAAGCCCTCGGACCCATTTTGTTGAAGGTTATAACCACCACATAGCCAGGCAGGCACCCTAATAGTGATTAGACATCCTAAATCCTAAACCGCGACACCTTAATTAGGCTAAACCCTCAAGCTGAACCCTAGACCCGAAACCCTAAACCCACACTAAACCGAACCCTATATATAGTACCCGAAACCCTAAACCCTAAACGCTAAACCCTATACCTGCGCCTTATAAATATACGACCCTAAACCCGAATCTATAACACCCTAAACCCTAAAAAACACCAGCCACGAAGGCGCCTTGATGCGATTTTCGTCGAGATTCTCCAGGTTCGGCCGGGGCTCCGGTTCCATAGAATCCTGGGTCAAATTTCGGATTATACATGAATTTCGAAGTGCTAGCGCTGGGACTCCCACAACATGTTTTCCGTAGAGGTTTGCAATCTCGTTGCAGAAATCAAGGGGGTACACTCCCGATCGCTTTAGCTGAACACTGTTGCCTGTCCTTAGTGTGCCGGATACTTGGCCCCGAAATCCATGCAATAATGTACACACGCATGCACAGTATACCGTGAATCGTACAAGCTTCACACAGGCCCTTCCTCCTTTCACAGCTCTCTTGACCAATTTTGGCGCTTTCTTACGAATCTTTGCCCGCTCCTCCTTGGACATCTGCCTCGACAAGTCAAAGATAAATGACCTCGGCCAAGCAGTTTGCTTCAGGGAAGCTACAGGGATCAGGGCCTACATATTCATGACAATTTCAGTAAAGCAACGGAGAGCCGAATAGAATTGTGCGTTTCAAGGACAAATGTCCATAGCAACCCAAGAACCTCAAACTGCACAGTCCAGCAATAAGGCAAGCACTGCCTCCAGCTCTGGTGTTGAAACAAGAAACTGAGCTTGCGACAGCTTGTGCATGTGCCCTTGCAACTCCAAAAGGAATCTCACCAGAGGGAACTCCATGAGTTTGGAGCTTCCCGGTTGTTCTACCTTGTCAAAACAGAGCGAGAGGGAAAGAAAGAGAGAAAGAGAGAGACAGCGAAAGAGAGAGAGAGAGAGAGAGTGTGTGTGTGTGTCAAAGCGTGCAGAAGAAGAAAGACCGAGAGAATAACAAGGAAACATAAACAGCAACAGAAAAAGAAAGAAAGAAAGAGAAAACAAAAAGATAGATGGAGGGACTATACAGCTAGACAGACAGGTCTAGAGAGGAAAGAGAGAAAGAGAAGAACATAGAAGGAGAGAGAGAGAGAGGGGGGAGAGGGAGAGAGGGAGAGAGAGAACGGGAAAGGGAAAGGGAAAGGGAAAGGGAAAGGGAAAGGGAAAGGGAAAGGGAAAGGGAAAGGGAAAGGGAAAGGGAAAGGGAAAGGGAAAGGGAAAGGGAAAGGGAAAGAGACAGATAAAGAGAAAGAGAAAGATAAAGAGACAGAGAAAGAAAAAGTGAAAGAAACAGAAAAATGCTTGGTCGGGAACAGCCGGGTGGGTGGCGGTCGAGGAGGGGGGGGAGGAAGGGGGGGGAGGGGGGGGGGGGAGGGGGGGGTGGGGGGGGGGGAGGGGGGGGGGGGGGGCACATGCATATGGTAAAATTCGAATGAGTTCTGATGATCATGATGTAGATTCAATGCACAGACGCGACGCCTGCGGAGCCTCGACGATAATGATCTTCTTGCTCTCTGGCGGCGCAGGACTGTCCCAGAACCCCAGCTGGGTTTCCATCTCGTTGACATTCACAGGCACCTGCACTGCAACATGAGCCACTCTTCCAGGTTTGGACTTATGTGCAGCTAACAGGTTTGAATCTTTAGGGCTTCCAAGCTTCAGTGTTAATTAAGGAATCGGAACCGTAATCTACAATCTAGAATTAACATGCAACCCTAAACTCTAAACCCTAAACCCTAAACCCTAAACCCTAAACCCTAAACCCTAAACCCTAAACCCTAAACCCTAATTTTTGAACCTGGACTCTGAAGGACTGCCAGGAAGCAGGGGGAGCTAAACCCTAAACCCTAAACCCTAAACCCTAAACCCTAAACCCTCATTTTTGAACCTGGGCTCTGAAGGACTGCCAGGAAGCAGAAAGAGCTAAACCCTAAACCCTAATTTTTGAACCTGGGCTCTGAAGGACTGCCAGGAAGCAGGGGGAGCTAAACCCTAAACCCTAAACCCTAAACCCTCATTTTTGAACCTGGGCTCTGAAGGACTGCCAGGAAGCAGAAAGAGCTAAACCCTAAACCCTAAACCCTAAACCCTAATTTTTGAACCTGGGCTCTGAAGGACTGCCAGGAAGCAGGGGGAGCTAAACCCTAAACCCTAAACCCTAATTTTTGAACCTGGGCTCTGAAGGACTGCCAGGAAGCAGAAAGAGCTAAACCCTAAACCCTAAACCCTAAACCCAAAACCCTAAACCCTAAACCCTAAACCCTAATTTTTGAGCCTGGGCTCTGAAGGACTGCCAGGAAGCAGGGGGAGCTAAACCCAGCCTAAACCCCAAACCCTAAACCCTTACTACAAACCCTAATCCCTAAACTGCAAACCCTAAACCCTATAATATATAGCTAATAAAACCCAAGCCCTAAACTTGCCCTAAACCCTAAACCCTGGACCCTCGGTGGTTGCCTGCTGCGACACCGAGGATGGTGAGGAGTTGCTGTCGCTGGAACCATGCGTGGCAGCCGGTGTGGACGGGGGCTCCATAGTCTCCTCAGCAGTTACCATATATATAGAGCAAAGGGCCGGGCGTAGCCAAACATTCTTGCGGGTTTGGACTTCTGTGCAGCTAACAGGTTTCATTCTAGGCTTTAAAGGGGAGACTAGTAGAAATGAGAACTACAATAACCGATTCTGTCGGGGACAAGCTGACTAGATTTGATGGCTACTGCCACCAGTGAAAGGGGGTCAATTAGAGGTGTTTGGGTGGAAGAAACTCAAAGGGGGGTTCGGGTTCAGGTCTTTTTAGTGTTTAAGTTTTGAGTTCAGGCTTTAGTGATGTTGAAAGTATATACGAATCTAGGGGGCACATTCAAGCGAACCCTGAACACTCGATCATCACTCTAAGCCCTAAACCTTAAATACCCCAAATCCTGCATGAATAAGCTTACAAGCATGATTGTACACCGGGTCTCCAGCTGCGAACCCAATGAGCTCTGAGACTCGGTGTCATCCATTTCTTCCTGGCTTGGTTTCATAAAGACAGCTAGCTGTGCCTAGATAAATAGGGCACGTCGCACCGCCCTGGACCACAAAGGCTAGCCTAAATGCTTCCGGGAGACAATCGCTTCTCCAGCTTGCATGCTTTCTGCAGCAGCCAGATTGTGGGCGATCTCATCATCCACATCACCACGCCCTGAAGCATCGATCGGAATACGCTAGGCGCTGCAGATTGCACGTGCACAGCTTACAGCAGGCGTAGAGCGAAAGCCGGAGGAACTGAAGCCTGCAACCATCCCACGTACATGTTTGTACAAGCCCCGGCTGTGCCTGCCTTGCAAGCTATTTCTGATGAGCTCCTTCAGCATACGCATGCGCGGCGACCTGATGAACTTCCGGAAAAAAAGGTCATGTCAGCAGCTGGTTTGCAATTCGAGTGGGCAATACTTACATACAGAGAGAAAGAGAGAGAAAGAGAGAGAGAGAGAGAGAGAGAGAGAGAGAGAGAGAGAGAGAGAGAGAGAGGAGAGTGTTGCTCAAACTTTTATAAGTGGCTTGGAGCTGCTTGCCCGACGCGCCAGAAGCAAGGCGTGTATGGCCATTGCTCGCATGATGCCGGCCTGTGTGTGCGCCCACGCCTGGCATCGGGTTGTGCGTTTTTATACATATATATATGGAGACAGGTCAGGCAAGAATACACAGCCTGGATCCTCTTCTTGCGGGTGCCGGAAGGAAAGATGCAGTATCTGGCGTTCATGAGCAGCAGGATTTCCTGTCACACAAGCGAGGAAAATCACAGCTTGCAAATTGTTGCGCTGCAACTGCACACTGCAGGTCCTTGTGGATGCTGAAGAGTGGCACCATTGCATCCAAGGTGGCGAAGTATCCACAGAGGAAGTCATAGTGTCTCTCGCACTGGGCTTAATGGAAGCGAACACTTCACACACTGGTCCTTAAAACTGCACAAACGCTGCAATGCAGCCAAAGCTCCATGTCCAGGGAGTCTGCGCCAGCTGCCGGCACAGGCAGAATCGCACGGTCCTACCAATAACCAGAGCCGCAGCAACACTAGTGGCAAACCCTAGCTAACTATAACATACCGTATCGGTCCTGCCGCTTCCGGATCTCCGGAAGAAACTTTGCCCTGAGGAGCCAGGCATTCATGTAGTCCTGACAGGTGGCAGCGACGCACAGGACAAACATGTAGCAGCAGGGACGGAAAGGCCTCGAGGAGGTAGCGCTGGTGCTGCTTCATGATATCCATGGGCCTGACTCATGATGAGTTGATCGATAACACAAATCCACCCGCACGCGCTCCCTGCAGTTGCATGCAGTCAAGAATCACAAGGAAGCAAGTGCTGAGCACGCCCAGCAACACGGCCCCGTGGCGAAGACAAAACTGCTTTAAACGACTGCAGCATGAAGCAGTTAACGTTGGAAGCTGTGCACCACCAACGATCAGTGCAAAAACAAGCGTTGCACTGTTGCACTGCAGTCCATCAACCTGAACAGCAAAGCCTGGCAGCGAGGGAGGGGCGGGGGGCTTACCTGAATCAGAAAGATCCTCGGTCGCATTCTCTGCAGCTGCGCGCGCTGCACTGGTCACCCCGCCAGCTCCTGACTGGCCCTGTGACACCATTGAGAGGCTTCGCTTCATGGCGGTAAGAGCAATCTAATTCAGGATGAGACAAGACCGATTTGGATCTAGCTCTGGGGTTTTAGGGCAGGCTTAAATTCTGTATCTGGGATGGCACAAACCAATATTGGATTTAGCCATGGGGTTTTCGGGCAGGTTTGTGTCTGGGGTGGCACGATATACCCTGTGCCGCGGGTGGCTTCCTGTGGCCACGCCCCCGCTCCTACTCTGCATGACCTGCTGCTGGGGCGGCGGACACAAGATATCAATTAGGAAGGTCCCCTCATTCCATAAAGTGTAGGAAAATCGGAACCATTACGGAAGGACAAATACCTATTCCAGAAAGACCACGATTTCCATGGTCACAGCCCGCGAAGACGCACGGAGGCCACAAAGCCATGATTATACATATTGCCCACTCGGATTGAGAGGGTAGGGTTCACCCTCCAAACCCCCCTCAAGAGGGGCTTTCTTGCTTTTACGTGGGGCCTCCCGAGCTTTGTGGAGCCTGTCAGTGGCTCGTAGGCTTCTTGGAGCTTTCACGGAATCAAATGGAGGTCCTTAAGGCAAAAGGTTCCGGAGCCTGGCAACCCTTCGCACTCCCCGGACCGTTTCCTGGGAATCCCCTCATGAAGGTGCCAGGAGGTTTTAGGGAAATTGGGGGGGTTTAAGGCAAGGCGGCCCAGAAGTGGGGGGGTCCCTGGAATCTGCCAGCCTGGGACCCCAGGCCTGGGGGCCCCCCACCAAAAACACCAAAACGGTCCTCATTTTTTCTGAGGCGTAGCCAGGACCCTGCAGGCGGCTTTACCCTCCCTCACCGTTCCGTCGAGACGCTCGGTCGGGGACCTCGGTCGAAGCCTCGAGCGCCCATGCAAATGGACAGCGGCGCTCTCGGCAGTTTAGGGTTTAGGGTTTAGGGTTTATAGGGTTTAGGGTTTAGGGTTTAGGGTTTCGGGTTTAGGGTTTAGGGTTTAGGGTAGTTTCATGGGCCCTTAGTGTGGTCCCGGAGGTTAAGGGGTTCTGATTTGTGGGCCCTTGGGTTGTATGGGGTATATAAGGATGTATATAAGGGGTACCCCTTTAAGGGCCCATGCAAAGGTACTCCTAAGTTTGTTGTGCTCGGTGAAGGTTGCAGGGTTTTGAGTCTTCAAGGGCCCAAGGGTCCCAGGGTTGGTTTTAAAGAATTAGGGAGGTGTTTTTTTTGTTTGGGGGGGGGGGGGGAGTTGGGTGTTAGGGGTGCCCCACACCCCCACACACCCACACCCCCACACCCCCACACCCCCACACCCCCCACACCCCCCACCCACACCCCCACACCCCCACACCCCCACACCCCCACACCCCCACACCCCCACACCCCCACACCCCCACACCCCCACACCCCCCCACACCCACACCCCCACACCCACACCCCCACACCCACACACCCCCACACCCCCACACCCCCACACCCCCACACACACACACACACACACCCACACACACACACCCACACCCACACACCCACACCCACACCCACACCCACACCCACACCCACCCACACACACACACACACACACACACACACACACACACACACACACACATACCTTAGCTCGAACCATAAGCCCGAACCGCCCCAATCACCAAATAGGGCCGTTGATTAGCGGGGTGGGGGTGTTGCTATTCCCGGACTATTGACACTATTGAAGGAGGGGGGGACTCGTTCCTGACTAAGACGTGGGGCTTGGGTGGGGGAGGGGAAGGGGGTTCCAGTCCATGATTTTGAAGACCCCCCCCCCCCCCCTCTCCCTATCAGCGTCCCTGAAAACACAACCTTCCTAAGCCCGCCCAGACTCCCAAACTCAGGAGCTGAAACAGGCACAAAGCCTCAGATCTGCGACCCTAGACGTATTAGGGTTTAGGGTTTAGGGTTTAGGGTTTAGGGTTTAGGGTTACCATCCGAAGTTCGGTTCTCCGAAGGAACTCAATATCCTGCTGTTCGCTTTGTGGCGGAAGCATTTGTCCAGGGCCTGGCCTCTCGCCAAAGAGTTGGGGTTTAGGATTTAGGGTTTAGGGTTTGGGTTTAGGGTTTAGGGTTTAGGGTTTCGGGCTTCGGGAGAGTTGGTAGGAGCTTTGCTTTGCGGCTTTTCGACTGGGGAACTTTTCGACAGTCGGTGTCCTTGTGGTAAACCCTAAGCCTAAACCCTAAACCCTAAACCCTAAACCCTAAACCCTCCACACGGAGCTTAAGTGAATGAATCACTGCACGGGTCGGCAACACGGTGCAGCCTGAAGTCTCCGCTGAAGGAAAGGTTGTCGAGAGTTTGGGGTTGAGGGTTTGGGATAGGGTTCGGTGTTTACTTAGGGTTTAGGGTGGGTTCAGGGTTCAGGGTTTAGGGTTTAGGGTTTAGGGTCTAGTTAGGGTTTCGGGTTTAGGGTTTAGGTTCCGGGGTTTATGGTCTAGGTCTATTTTGGGTTGCGGCTCTGCTTCATCAGAGTTAGGCTTGAGAGTTGGGGGGTTTACTACGATTTGCTTAACAACTTCCCCCCCAAAAAAAAACAAAATCTTGTTTAGGGCCTATAGGGTTGAGGGTTTTGGGTTTAGGGTTTAGGGTTTAGGGTTTAGGGTTTTGGTAGAGTGTAAGGAAGCAGGGCGAAGCCCTGGGGGCCCAGAAGATGCAATTGGAGTTTCATGGTTTTGGGGTGGGTTTAGGGTTTAGGGTTTAGGGTTTAGGGTTTAGGGTTTAGGGTTTAGGGTTTAGGGTTTAGGGTTTAGGGTTTAGGGTTTAGGGTTTAGGGTTTAGGGTTTAGGGTTTAGGGTTTAGGGTTTAGGGTTGTTCGATGCTAGGGTGCAATCTTGTTGAAGTACGTTGTGCCCATGATCATGCCCTAAACCCTAAATCCCAAACCTTTTTGATTGGAGACGACCCAACCCCCGAACAAAACCCCAACACCTTAAAACCCTGAGCCCAAACCCTAAACCTTAAATCCTAAACCCTAAGCCCTAAGCCCTAAACCCTAAACCCTAAGCCCTAAACCCTAAACCCTCAACCCTCAACCCTCAACCCTCAACCCTAAGCCCTAAGCCCTAAGCCCTAAGCCCTAAACCCTAAACCCTAAACCCTAAACCCAACAAAGCTCGTAGTGAAAGGAGCACAACCTGGCCTTTTTCCTTGCGAAGTCTGGCTGGCAGGCCGGGGCACTTGGAGGTTCAGAGTTTAGGGTTTAGGGTTTAGGGTTTAGGGTGTAGGGTTTAGGGTTTAGGGTTTAGGGTCTGCTTGTAGGGTTCTTAAGGGAGGGGTGGTTTCAAGGGGGGGGGGGGGCTTAGGATCTAGGGTTTAGGGCTTAGGGGGTCTCAAGGTTCCTTAGTACTCCCCACTACTCCCTAAGGTTCCCTAAGCCCCTAAACCGTGAACCCTAAACCCTAAACTCCCTTAAGGACCCTAGAATCTGTCATTGAGTGCGCTCGAGGCTTGGGAGTTGGAAGTTCAGTGCTCAGAAGGGTTTAGGGTCCATAAGGGGTTTAGGGTTTAGGGTGTAAGCCCTAAAGTCCAGATATTTGCTTCTGCAAGGATTGATGGACACAGCCGTGCATTGGCCAGGGCTCGGGGTCGGTGTTTAGGGTTCAGGGTTTAGGGTTGATAAGTCTAACGGGCCTGCCCTAAACGAAGAAGATCGATTGACGAGTCGAGCAGCCCCGGCTTGGTGCAGGCTGTGAACGATCCACGTGCCCCACGAGTATACGAGAGCGGATGCTCGCAGCAGTTGGCGTTTGTGGGCTTAGGGCTTAGGGGGACCCAACATTCCTTAATACTCCCCACTACTCCCTAAGGTTCCCTAAGCCCCTAAACCCTGAACCCTGAACCCTAAACCCGAAACTCTTGGGGGTGTCGGGTTGACGGGTTTATTGTCTCCGGGTACTTGGGGCTTAGGGTAACAGGGTTCTGTCGGGTTTGATCTTGGGATGTTCCCCCCCTTACACGCACATTCCTTAATAGGGATTATATTTGGGGGGGGGGGGGGGGTATACCTCTTATTCCAGTCTTGGCCGGGATGGGGTTTAGGGCTTATTGTTTTAGGGACTAGGGTTTTAAGGGTTAAGGGTTTAGGGTTTAGGGTTTAGGGTTCAGGGTTTAGGGTTTAGGGTTTAGGGTTTAGGGTTCAGGGTTTAGGGGGCCTCCGGGGTTTAGTGGGTTTGGGGAGCATGTGCAAGGCTGGCAAGCCGAGATGTGAAAATGCCACTGGGCTTCCTGTTCCCCAAACCCTAAACCCTAAACCCTAAACCCTAAACCCTAAACCCCAAACCCCAAACCCCAAACCCTAAACCCCAAACCCCAAACCCCAAACCCCAAACCCTAACCCTAAACCCTATAACCTCTATAAACCCTATAAACCCTTTAACCCCTATAAACACTATAAACCCTATAACCCCTATAAACCCTATAACCCCTACCTATAACCCTATAAGCCCTTTAAGCCCTGAAGACCCTTCAACCCCTACAATAGAGTGAAGCCTGAACCTTAAAGAGGTTCAGTCTCGTCTTTCAGTCTCGTCTGGAACCGTGCCGCGTTCAGGGCGCGACTTTTTGGGCTCATAAAGCTGCGGATTCCCATCGGTTTGGGGTTCAGGCTGTAGTGTTGAGGGGTTGGGGTTAGGGTTCAGGGCTCCTGCAGGCAAGAGAGAGAGAGAGAGTGAGAGAGAGAGAGAGAGAAAGAAAAGAAACAACAAAAACAAAAAAACAAAAAAAAAGAGAGAGAAAGAGAAAGAGAGAGAGAAAGAGAAAGAGAAAGATACACAGACAGAGAGAGAGAGCAGCCCCTCAACAGCCACTCAGCATCACGAATTCTCTTGGCGTTCGGATGGCACGAATGAAGCCTCGGACTCAGGGTGGGGTCCTGTTTTGCAGTTTTTTTTTGTTGGGGGGGGGGGGGGGGGGGGGGGGGTTTTAGGGTTTAGGGTTTAGGGTTTTGGATTTAGGCTCCCTTGCAAACTCCTTGTTCGCGCTCAGGGTGCTCTTGTCTGGTTGCTGTCGCCCCAC